AAATGGTAGGTGTTTATCTTTTCTGTGGCCTGAAATTTTACACACCCAATTTTCATTAGTTATTTACATAATTCTTTCATAGATTTTAAGGATGTCCTTTTTTCCCAATAACATTTGACAGTTCAGTTATTTATTAACTTCTAAGTGCTCCATGTTGGAGTGGTCCAGCTAGTCATAAATCTATCATTTAAGTGAGCTTTTCCTATAGTTTTGATCAAGCATTATGATTAATAAAGTTGTTCTTTGAGTAGGTGATTTAATTTGAGCATATCATACATTGTTCTGTGGTTTTTATCTATTCTCTACAACAATGGATGATAATAATTATGACCATAATTTCCAAGATCACAGCAATTACTTCTTAGGACAGGGATTTATTTATGATCTGCAGTGTCTGGAAATACTGTCACAAAATCCACAAAACTCCAGCTTTGTGTAAGTAGTATATTTAAGTCATCATGCTTGCTATGGCAACACGTGTATTGTATCTGAAGTTAGCATAGCTGCTGACATACTTGCTTTTTTTTGCCATTCATTTCCAAACTGTCAAATACATAAATGAATTTGTGACATTTTTAGCCATTCATAGTCTTGAAAAAATAATTTACTGAGTACCTAGTCTCATGAAGGCATTGAAAGACATGTTTTATCAAAGTAGATATGTAAGTCAAGGAAAAAAAAAAAGACATGGATCCCTTTAAACTGGGGTCTATTGAGAAGAGGAAGGGAGGCTACCTGGTGATGGTAACTTGAAGTCTCAGGCTAGTCATGTAGCTGATAGGAGCAAGGACCTTTGTGATTTAGTATTTCTGGACACTGGATAGCATGTTTGGGGGAACAATAAACTTAGTCTGTGGAAAATCACTGACCACTGTTTTATTTCTGAGTCCAGTGGTGAAATGCTACAGGACCCTGTTATAGTAGTGTCCAGATACTTAATCTTTATGGTTACTATATGTATATTCATGATGGTTAGATTTATCAATATATATAGCTTTTCATCATCCCTTCTGTATTAGGGCATATCATTGAATGGGAATTTTTCATGACAAAAAGCATTAGAAAGACAATTTAGAGTTAGTTTTCTTGCTATTACTGCATTCATAGCAAAGGTACGTCATGAATGGTGACAACTGTGAAGGGCATATTCTGGCTAATCAAATGGGATATTGCATTATTTAGTTTTTTTTCCCTCTTATTTCTTTTTGAAAAAGGGTATTATGCAGACCAGGCTGCCTCTAAGTTGTTATGTACCAAAGATGATCCTATGCTCCTGATCTCTCTTACCTCTGCCTCCCACCTGCCGGGATAGCAGTCATGTACCACAACTCCCAAGTACTAATACTTAGTTTTGTACTTCAGTGTGACATTAGGAAAAAGGTAGTGAAAACAAAATTAATGAATTCTCTTGATACTTCATGTTGATTTAAAGATGACTAGAATGTTTGTCTACATTAAGCTTGCAGAAAATCAATGACTTCAGATAAACTTGTAAAACGGCAAAGGTAGCTTTAAGCTATCTGCACTAGATGCCAGACCTGGTGTAGAGTACTGCTGTGCTACATGGTAGTCAGTCTGCAAAAGTTCCTTATTTCTTTCCTTTTTTGTTTTCTTTATTAGGGTTTTGTTTTGCTTTGTTTTTTGCTTTTTGTTTTCTTTTTTGGTCTTTTTGAAACAGGGTCCTCCTGTAGCCCCAGCTAGCCTTGAACTCTGTGTAGACTAGGCTGGCCTCTAACTTACAAAGATATGCCTGCCCCTGCCTCTCAAATGCTGGGATTAAAGGTGTGCACCCCCATGCCCAGCTCTGTTTTTTGTTTTTTTGAGACAGGGTCTCACTGTGTAATCCCAAATGGCCTGATATGTAGACCATCCCAGGCTAGACTTGATTTCACAGCAATCCATCTGTATCTGCAGTGCTGGGATTAAAGGCATGTGCAATCATGCCTGTCAGAAGTTCCTAATTTCCAATGATTTTTATATTTCCCCTTTCTTCCTCTCTCCTTCTCCTCTGCTCCATCTCCCCATTCTCCCATTCCCCATGTCCTCATCATGATCTGCATGCAGCATTTTAGCTAAAGTCACTCATGTTAAGTAATTTTATCTTTTCCAATGTTAAGCTTTGAAAAACTTCAGCATTTATTTCACTTTCTACTTTTATTTAGATCTTTCCTTTTTTTCCTGTGAAAAATATAGGCATTTATATACTGTTAAGGCTAATGAGGTTTAGACTAATTTGCAAAGAGCACTTGACATTCAAAATGTTAATCTTCTGCCATATGCATGCTTTTCATATCCCAGTGAGACTAGGGAAAAAGGAGAGTTCAAGCTCAATTTCAAATAAAAACTAAGAAAAAATTGTTCAAAACCAGAAAGCATAGCTATTATAATGTTGAATACAAATTTTTATGCTATCTGAAGGAAAACTGGGGCAAATATTTACCGGAATATTTTTGTTGCACAAGTTTGTTGTCATCTATCTTTTCATGGGTGAATAAGCAATTGAAGAGGCTCTGAACTGCGAGAGAACTCTCTTAAGCACCCTCCCTGGCAAAATGACAGAACTATGTCTCTTTAGTCACCTTATCATCCTTTAAGAGAAGGAAAGCCAGAGGTGACAGAGCAGCCTTTCTGCTTGAAGAAGGCATGTGCTTAATTATGATTTATACTGTGGATTTTCAATATTCAGATACATGGAACTTTTCAGGTTTATTATATATCATTAAACTCTGAGCATTTTACTTTTGAGTGATTTTCTTTCTGATTTCTGTTACTGGTTTTTCTATATGTAGATAGTTCTAAAATCTGAGATAAAGTTTAATTTCTCAATGAACTGTGAAAGTAGTTCTAGATTTGCCATTCTAGTTGTAGGGTAATGTGAGTTAAAACAGTTTTGGGGGTGGTGTTGATACAGAGATTGTTAAAGTCTAGTAAATCTGATTCCTAAATCTCTATTACTTCACTTTTAGCACCCATAGGATTTATTAAAGGGTAAATATAAATGACTCTTTCTATGTGAAATGTCATTTAAACATGACTCAAAAATATATTACCAAGAATTTATTTTTTCTCCTGTTAATAATAGTTATGGGAGTTGAACCTCATTAAGTCATAGTATATCTATGCTAACCGTTTTTCCAGTAGTATTTCTAATTTCTTTTCACATTTATACATTGAGAAACCATCATGGTTTAATTCCACTTATTTGACTTAGCTGGGTAGCCTACTTACTACTAAACTTTCTAATTTATGTTTGAGTTCCTCATCCTCTCATTCTAATGTATTTATAAAAACAGGGTGAAGTCAAACAGAGTTAAAACAGCTTTTCTAGAGATTAGAATGTGAAAAAGGGACTTAGAGGAAAGGAGAATGTTGACAGGGTGGAAGGTAGCTAGGGATGTTAGGGAGTAAGAGTAATCAGAATGTTTATATACATGTGTAAAATTGTCAGGGGCACATTTAATCAAAATCACAATAAATATTTTAAAAGTTGAGATCATAGAAAAGTTTGAACTATTAGATTCCACAGAGAAAGTTTCTAAACATTGGTGGCATGAAATTCAAAGCTGTAAAGGGATGAGATGAAAATGTACCCTTGCCGCCTGTGGTGCCAGCTTTTTGCATGGGAAAGTGAAGATTTTCTAGGTCGTAGTAACTGAATTTGTGATTAAATATAGTGAAGAGAAATGAAAAATAAAATTATTCAGTGAAATATTCTTGCATATTTAACCCTTGGTGTAATAAAATAATACTTGCTATTCTTTTGCAAGATTACTTTATAGTGGAGTTCTTAGATCTTATAACATACACAATTAAAGGCAACTTTTTCATAAGTGTAATACAAAATAATCATAATTTCATAAGGAACAAAACCCAAATCTATCATAATAGAAAAATACTACTGTTTCCCAGACATGTGAAGGAGATGATAGAGTTTATGGAATTAAATGTTGCTTTCTGGTTACTGTTCATGGACTTCTTTTAGTTCTACTGTTCTCCTCACACGTGCCTGATTGACATTATGATGCATTCGTGTGGAAATTATGAAAAAGTTGTTTTCATGCAGCTGTCCTATCATCACAAAAGAACTTCACTGCATGAAAAGCAAACATATCATTCAGCAGACAATGCCTAATCTGTTCAGGAGCCCAAACCTATTGCTGCTCAATGACAAAAGAAAGGAGAGGGATTAATTTGAAGATGCTTGTGCATGACATATGTTAATTTCTCCATAGGAAGGAAGTGTCAAATGGTGACCTCTAAATCTTAACATTGACCTCCAGTTGTAGAATGTGTGTGCCATACGGTCCTTTGGCTTTTTCATATGATAATTTAAACTGAAACATTTTCCTGGCAGCAACTTTCTTGTGGGGGGTGGGGGAGGAGTTGGCTCATCTGTTGTATAAGAATAAAAGTCATATTTTTCTAGTGTATATAGCCTTATTTCAAATATTTTTTAAACTGTGAGTGAAACTGTATTGTAATTATTCTCAGAAGAGTTAAACTTAATGGGCTGTATATGTTCTTTACAAATTGGTTTATTTTAAACTGAGTTTTTATACAAGTGTAGAAGATGGAACTATTACTGAGTTGTTTTGAGGTATTTTAAAATAGTTTAGAAATAATGTTAGAGAATAATTGTTAGGAAGATATAATCAGCAATGGGAAAACCAGCATAAAAGTTTTCGCCATGTGATATAAAGTCTGGATTTCATTATTGAGAATTCTTTATACCTTGTCACTTTTTAATTATTGCTTTCAATGTTTTAGACTTATTTTTTTTGCAAGGTTTGACATATCATCCATCTATAATATTAATAAAGATCTTGACTTTAAGAGCAAGTTGAACTATATTGTGATTACTATTCAAGAAAATGCAGCCTTCTCTGCTATAATTTTTAATGGACATGCCCTTCTGGTTAAAACATCATTTTTTAGTTATACGTTCACTATATTTTGCTAACTTTGTTTTCATTCTTCACTAATACTGAGCTTTTTTTCAGAAACTGCTGTACCTCAAATCTGTCCTCTTTCTTTCCATTCTCCTCTGCAAGTTGCTGCACCTGTCGTTTCTGCTCGGTCTGCTGCTGATCACTCTGGCTCTGACTCTGCTTCTACTCCTGCTTTACATACCTGTTTCTTAGTAAATGAAGGTATTCTCTCTCAACTTTCTAACAACTTCCTTTCAATCTGTGCTTTATCCTAATAGACACGTTCTTTTTATATGATTTGTACATCCATCCTGTTTATTTTCTATGAGGTCTTGAATTTCCCATTTTATGACTTTATTTGCCAACCTCAATGCCAATAGCCAAAAATGTGACGTGCCCCTGCCTAGCATAAGGCGTGGCTGCTGTCATAGAGTGCTGGTAGAGGAGTGCAGAGATGATAACCTGAGTGTGCTAAAGCTGAATTGTGCCATAGTGCATTTTGCCATGTGATCTATGACATTGGCCCAGTAAACTTGATTTCCATGTAGCATTAGTCTATGACAGTCGTACTGTACTGTCTTTACACAGCTGCATGTCCTAGTAAGAGAGAGATATGAGTGAGTCTGTTAATTTACATTTTCATTGGAAAAATTTTCAGGTTGAATATATAGACTGTTAGGAATTCACCTTTCCTATTCCTATTTCTGCTTTAGGCAAAAACAAATCCATAATTTTAGTTATTAGATTTAGTTGGACCATCATATCCTTTCTGTTGTAGAGTTGCACAATGCAAAAAAGTTTTGGGACTCTGCAGATGAGAGTGAAATCTGCAAGCCTTTGCTCTTTGAGCCCACCTCGCATTATTTATAACACCGAGAAACAAAACCAAATTTGTCAATACTGCATTCTATCGACTTTCTCCAATATGGTCTCAGCCTTTACGAGTTTGTATAGTCTTTACATAGTTTGTAAGGAGAAACTGTGCAAAATCTAAAATATTATTCAGAATGATTCTGATACATTGTCAAAAACCAGTATTACAGGTCCATTCAAGTAGAAGGAATGTTAGACTGCGGTAAAGTACAGAAACCATGTTAAAGCAGCACTCCTTGGGAAAGAAAACATCGAACTTAAAACTGTAATTTCATTGTTTGTTTGGTTTCCCTGTCATAGAATTATACTGAAGTTTGTCTGTGAAGACTACATTTTAGATACGTTAGTTTGAATAACTGTTAAACCATTGTGAAAAATAATTATTTGTTAGTTAAAAATATGCTGTCAGGCTTTGGTGAGAGACGTCATACTATTAAAATTTAGCTCATACATAGTTCAATGTAGCATACCTATGAAACATTAAGAAATGATATTAGTATATGTCTATCTACATATATCCATGCATTATAAATAAATTATAATAGAAAAGGTGTATTTATCACCTGAATTAATATCACTACATATTTATTATCAGTTGATGAATGTTTCTCTAATGAATGGATGAATCTTTAAGTAGGTGACTTTTCTGTCTCTGTTTCATTCTCTTTTTAACAATTCAGTAATCACTTTATGTTTTATCCAGGGTTTTTGTTATTAATTTAGAAGACTACAGTTCAAATTCTTTGAAAACTCTGACTTCATAAATTCCTATGCTCACAGATAATACATTGTAAATGATAGTAAATGTTTTCATCCATTCTTGATTGCTTTTCTGTAGATGTTATCCTCCGTAGAAAATGTCAATTACTAGAACTAATAATGGCTTCAGACATAATTTGAAAAGATGAGGCATTCATGTATATAGAGAAATACTTTGGACACTTTTAAAATAGGGAAGAAATGACTCAGAATGTCTGTATACTAGTACAGTGGTATACAGCATGTATCTTTCTCATACAGTTAGATTTCAGACTGTGAATTAGAATTTTGGAAAAGATAACCTTTAATCCTGTGAGTTGGAATCAGTAATATTTAAGACTTTGTAAATTTTGGATGGTCAGGTTTTAATTTTGTGGAATGTGTGCTTTCATACTCCCTCTAAAAATAGGCACAATGAGGATTGTGATAAGTATCTGATTCGTTTAGTAGGAAGGGAGGTTGCTATCTTAAAGCCTTCTGACAAAGGATGGAAGACCCCTCTTTTGGCTGATGTGTTGGTAGCATTCAACTGTCTGTGGTTAAGGGATGGGAACCTGTGGCGAATATCTGAGAAATGCCCTTTAAATGGCAGTAGGTTCACATATGTAGCTCTTAGCATGTGTTTATTTCTGTCCTTTCCCATCTACTGATATGTTTTGTTTTGGAAAAATCTTTTTATAGATGTGTTTTCCTTGGTAATTTAGCTAACCGTTTTGTGAAATATTGTTTTTATCTGTTAAAAATCTTTAGGCTTCTTATAGGTTACCAAATAAATGATTGAAAGTTGAAATGTTTCATATCATTTTTATATATAATAATATTAAACTAAAATCATTTATAACATAATTCATGGGCCTTCCTGTTTTGTTTTTGTTTTCAGTAAGTGTACATGAATAAACACTTTGTATTTAGGGAATACCAAGATGTTTAAAGTATTTTTGATATGCCACCTTCTGACAGGATGGAGTCAGTTAGCTGCTATGCACTGTGTCATGCTGCCAGACCTGCTGGGGTTGGATAAATTTAGGCCTCCACTTCTGGAGATGCTAGCTCGAAGATGGCAAGATCGATGCTTGGAGGTAATGTTGAAGCAATAAGAAAGATAACAAAAATGTTAAAGAAAAAAAAAGCTTAGTGAAATTTCAAACAAAATGGTTAGTGTTTGTCTCATTATCTTTATATACTTAAGTATTGGATTCCATAGAGATTATGTACTCACATGAAAAGATATATATATGTATATATAC